CTTTAAATTTCTCTGTCTGGGTCTGAATATCTCTATGATCTGTTTTAATAAGTTTTCCCAAAACTTTTATCTTGGCACACATATTAACCAACTTTAATGATAAAACAAAAATGATCAAACAGATAACATTTATAATTGACATCATGTAAATCCCACCTAAATTAATTGTCCTCTCATTTAATTGCTCCATTTCCAAACTGGCCAAAGTATTATCATATAGAGACCTAACTCCCTCCATTGTAATCGTGTTTCCCATTTTTTAATGCGGGAAAAGAGTCCCTCTTTTAACTAATTTCCCACTTTAAGAATTCCCAGTTGTCTCACCAGATCTGCCAACATGACGACTCAGATGACAGTGAAGTGTGGGACTGACTGCTCTGCATAGAATAGAAGCCTGAGCAGTTTTCAAGGCAGCTACCTAGTGTGGCAGCAGCCTGAGGAGGGGGTCCAGGGAAAGCCCACAACCCCCTGGGAGAGAAGCCAGAGAGCCTGCCATCTGCAAAGGGGACATGTGAAAGCTGCTAACTCCTGTGGTTTTGGAGTCCAAAAGCCTACGGTGTTTGCTGCAGAGAGGCCACAACTGAAAAATCCCAACTCACTCAGAGGCTCGAGGAAAACCTTAGGCGGGGTAGTGACTCCGGCCTCATGCAGCTCCAGCCTGTCCTGGTGGCTGCAAAGCCACAGGCAAGAGGCTTTTTTGTGAATTCATGCCCAAAAAGTTGGATGCCAGATGTAGCACTAATTGGTCTTAATAATAAAAAGCCAGAGTCAAATATCGGGGTAAATGCTGAAAGATCAGAGAAGTGAAGGAGCCAGCCACTAAAGAGCCTCTACCAAATCCTCTGACCGAAAAGGGTGAGCTCCTGCCTCCTCCCACCTTACATTCCTCTCTCTGCCCAGCCATATCACTTCCTGTCTCCACCTCCCTAGTGCTGGGACTAAACACATGTGCCTCTAAAGTACTGGGATCAAAGGCATGAGATCCCAAGTGCTGGGATCAAAGCTGTGTGCCACCACTGCCTGGCCTAGAGGTTAACTAGTGGCTAGCTCTTCATTCTGATCTCCAGGCCAGCTTTATTTGTTAGAGCACAAACAAAACTTCACACAATTGTCAGTCAGTGACAAGGCCCGACCTATTGGGTGCTCTGCTCTTGCTTGGCTTCTCTGCTGTTAGATAGCACTCCCCCCCCCCCCCCCCCCCC